GCATTGATGAGCGTGTACACGAGAAGAGCATGCATGTGCAGGGTGGTCCAACCCACAGGAGGAAGGCGCCTACAGCCGCAATAGGGACTGCAAGAAGAGGATGAAAGTTATGTTTTTGTGTAATATCTTTGGATTCAGGTGTTCCAAACACCTCCATGGCCACAGTTGTATAAATTCAAGCCCCTAGGCATGCAAACTGCATCTACAAACATTTGTGAAAGAATGGGTCTCTCTCAGGAGCTCAGTGAACTCAAGCGTGGTACCATGATAGGTAGCCACCTGTGCAATAAGTCCATATGTGAAATTTCCTTGCTACTAAATATTCCACAGTCAACTGTTAGTGGTATTATAACAAAGTGGAAGCAACTGGGAACAACAGCAACTCAGCCATGAAGTGGTAGGCCACATAAAATGACAGAGCAGGGTCAGCGCATTCTGAAGCGCACAGTGTGCAGAAGTCGCCAACTGTCTGCAGAGTCAATAGCTAAAGACTTCCAAACTTCACGTGGCCTTCAGATTAGCACAACAACAGTGCATAGAGAGCTCCATGGAATGGGTTTCCATGGCCGAGCAACTGCATCCAAGCCTTACATCACCAAGTGCAATGCAAAGCGTCAGATGCAGTGGTGTAAAGCACACCACCACTGGACCCTAGAGCACTGTAGACATGTTCTCTGGAGTGACAAATAACGCTTCTCTGTCTGGCAATCCGATGGACGTGTCTGGGGTGCCAGGAGAACAGTACTTACCTGACTACATTGTGCCAAATCTAAAGTTTGGTGTAGGGGGGGATTATGGTGTGGGGTTGTTTTTCAGGGGTTAGGCTTGGCCCCTTATTTCCAGTGAAGGGAACTCTTAAGGCATCAGCATATCAAGACATTTTGGACAAATTCATCCTCCCAACTTTGTGGGAATAGTTTGGGGATGGCCCCTCCCTGTTCCAACATGACTGCGCACCAGTTCTTTCAGTGTCTCCTAAATATTTCCTGATAGAACAGAGGCACGGGGGCAAGCTGCACATGCTCAGTTTGGTGTGTATTGCTAGAGAGTTTTTTTTTTTTTCTTGGGAGAGTGCATGTGATCAGCACAGGCCCAGTCAGCAACCTCCAGACAGAGGTCAGGGGTCCTGCATCCTCCTACAGGAGAATAAACACTCCTACAAGCTGTAACTAGTGCTCTGCCAGAAGTCACAAGACTGCTCTAATTGCTAATGAGAAAAGGTATTTAGCAGTTTATATTTACTAAAATAATTACACTTCCATGTTCTGTGTATCGTGGGAGACCATATACAGTGAATGCAGGGTCCTGGGTTTAGTTACACTTTAAATGAACAAATGAGCAAAAACATCTGTCTGAAAGCAGCCTAAATTTATTTTTATCACCAGCTCGCATAAGTGCCTGAGGTTTTCTTAATTATAACCTCTGCTTAACAGCACTCAAACAGGAAGAAGAAAGGGTAGAGTTGGGAGCCAATCAGGACCTGTGTTATGCACATACGCTGACAGGAGGAGAGAGCAGAGTGAGCAGACCTGACAGCATATCAGTCAACAGTGTATCCCCCTCACGCTGACAGTGATGACTGGAAGAGGCAAATTTGTGGCTGGACAGAATTAGAACAATCTTTGTCTGTATACTGGAACTAAGTTTTTAGCTCTTTGCCTGGAGATCGCATTTAACAATGTGACAGTGCTGAAAGGAATGCTATATCATCTACTGTGAGCAATAAGCTCAGCATCAAGTATTCTCCCCAACTGATTTTATACAGCTTCGATTATTTTTTTTCATGATCTATGTTAAACCCCAACTTCAGAAATGAAATTACATTTAAATAGTAGATTGTACATCAATGACCTTACTCTTATTATTTATTTATTTATTTCAGGTACTTATATAGCGTTGTCAGTTTACACAGCGCTTTACATACATATTGTACATTGACATCAGTCCCTAACCCTCAAGGGGCGTACAATCTAAGGTTCCTAACTCACATTCATACATACACATACTAGGGACAATTATTCTTATTGTTTTTCTGGAAGCCAATGCCGCCAGTCACACCCTTACTGGGCTCCCTAATCAGACAGGAGAGCCTGGTAAAGATGGCAACAAGTGAGAAGGAACATCCCTTCCGCCACCTGTAAAAGTGATTCAGTGGCTTTATAGTCGCTCGGATCACTTTTACCTAATAGGAAATCACCTGCTGTAAAAAAAAAACGATACCAGGATCATGGTTAAGGTTGCCACCTCATCCCTTTAAAACCAAACACAATAATTATGCAGGTTCTGAGGCTAATTTAATGCAGATAAGGCATTAAATTAGTTTAATTACCACCTTATTTGGCCACAGAACCTGTGTAACTAATATGTGTTGGGTTTTAAAGGGATGAGTTGGCAACCCTAATCATGGTTGTAGCCTTAACCATTATCCCTGTATAACCAGTTTAACCTTACGCTTAAGGATGGGAAGTGGTTAACCACTTCTAGACTGCCCGCCCGCAATGTACTGTGGACAGGCGGCCTGTGCAGGCACAGTGACTTACTGGTATGTAACTACCTGCTTCCTGGTTTAGGGCACCACCCACTGTGATTGTACACAGCGGGAATCTGTTAGCAAGGCCCGGCCATTACAGCCCAGAGCTCAGTGTTAACAATCAACACATGACTCTGTACACAGGAAATTATCTCTCAGGAATGAGAAACAAAGCTGTCTATCAGTAATATACATATTACACATAGATGGATACACATTTAACCCCTTCATTGCCCTAGATGTTAAGCCATTTTCAGTACAGTGACAGAGTATGTTCTTAGCACTGATCACTGTATTAATGTCCCTGTTGATGTCAGTGACAGTTAGTCGGTTCCCCCCAGCATCAGTTAGTGTCAGATTGCCTGCCAAACTATCACAGTCCCATTATAAGTCACTGATCACCACCATTACTAGTATAAAAAAAATCCAATATATATACACCATAGTTTGTAGATGTTATAACTTTCATGTCAACCAATCAATATACACTTATTGGAATTTTTTTTACCAACGACATGTAGCAGAATACATTTTGGTCAAAATGTATGAAGAAATTAGATTTTTAAAAAAATATTTATTGGATTTAAGTAGAAAGTAAAAAATATTGTTTTTTAAATACCACATATCACTAAAAGAAAAAAATATAAAAGTTCCTTTAGGTACAGCGTTGCATGACCGCAAAAGGAAAAAAATGGTGAGGTCATGAAGGAGTAAAACCTTCCAGAGCTCAAGTGGTTAAAAAGTTATTACTCCCACAGCAGAACTTTTTGTTTCTTTCAAGTTGTTCATTTGAAACAGGTGTATGTTGCCTGTTGACAGACACTATCATGCAATCAAAGAAATATCTTTCTTCCTATCCGTTAGCATGTCTCAACTGCCAAAAAATGGGATAGACAGATTTAAAACAGTTAGAGATGACTTGAATAATAATCCTGAGGAGAAAATAGAACTAGAGACAGTATGAACCTGCTTCAAAGGGCAGCTGAGCTGGAAGTCTGCATTGAGTAGAGAAACCACTTCAGCTGCAATTAGTCTTTGTTTGGATAGCTGACTAATACATTCAACTATGAAGTTCAGGAACCCATTGTGACCAATGAGGTCTGAGTTGTGTTCACTGTAGTCCAGCTAATGAATGCTCTGGAATCGTGTGCCATGCTCATCATCGGTTATCATGTCTTACTAAATAAGGTGTCCGTTTATGAACCAGCGGTAATAGATCGCTGCTCAGTTCTCTGGCATTCTCAGAGAACACAGTTCTCCTGTGAATGCAGTTTATGAAGCAGTTCTCCGAACGAAGGGAGAACGGTCTCCAAACGCTGGAGAACGGTCTACAAACTCTGGAAAACGGCTGATTTTACTATAATCTCGCGAGATTACAATAAAAGATCAGTTTACTAAGCAGAGGTAAATTATCTCTGCTTAGTTTGCGGTCCCTCTGATTCTCCAGCTCTGGGCTGGAGAATCTGGAGGGAGAACACAGATCTCCAGTGAAGGGCTGACATGATCTCCAGAGTGTCATAAACTGTGAATGACCAGAGAATAGCTGAGATCTGTTGAATCGCAGCTATTCTCTGTGTCATAAACGGACACCTAAGATAGATAGATAGAACAACCGTCCTCTGACACCCCCTTTTCTTTCGCAGGGGTAAAAAAAATGGGGGTTTAAATCCTCATTACCACTTATGATAATCTGTGGTAACCTGATCATGCAATGATCATCCAATGGGTTCTTTCCCCCTCTGGGTGGATGAGGAGTGGAGAGGTTCTCTCAGGATCCAAAAGAGAACTGACAGCAGACTTGGGGAACTAGAGGGAGCCGAGTAGCGAGGTTTAACACACGGAAGTGAACAAGCAGGCAGAAACTGTGTCAGTGAGGGACCTGGATGGGGGAACTCATAAGTGAGGGATGAGTTTAACTGACTTTACCTGATAAGGAAATCTTTACCAGATGACAGGATGTGAAAAGTATAGATTTTGCCTGGAGTTTGGCTTTAACTTTAAAGTGGTTGTAAACCTCAGACATGAAATAGGAACAAAGCATATCCGTCTATAGTGTGTACTTGTCTCTATCCAGAGCACTGAGTGTAATTTCTGTATGCTGCCTCATTCCTCTGCTATCAGCATGAATCACTTCTGACAAGTTTTCCTAACACCAAGAGAAAAATGGTGACAAGGGAGGGACATCCAGATAATTGACAGCTTCAGCTCTGTTCCTGTGTGCTGTGTGGAGGGGGTGTGTCCCTACTCTCCAATCAGCTCTCAGAGCTCTGCAAGTGTAACTTCAGCTCTCCACCCCTTTTTTCTAAATTCATGCTTAAAAATTCAGCACTTTCATTGGATGTAGAGAAGATAAGAGTCACTTCAATGAGTATATGTAAGGGTTTACAACCACTTTAACCACTTTAGCACCACCCCATAGCAGATATACTGCTACAGGGCGGCAGCTGTGTGCAAAATCACGTATATATATATGATTTTGCATTTCTGTGTAGGAGGTGCGTGCGAGCCCTATCTGTGCCGCCTGTCAATCACTGGAACTTGGCCAGTAGTTACTCTCTGGTACCCGGTGATTGCCAAGGATCTCCAACAGGGGGGATAACTGTTTGTAAACAAAACAGTTCTCTCCCCTGTCAGCTGCTGCACACTGCTTTGCATGGTGCATAGCTTTGCATGCAAAGCAGTGTGCTTACAGTGAAGCACTAACATAGCACACTTAGCAAAACGGCACACAGCACACAGTTAACCCTTTAATTGACCCACATGTTAACCCCTTCATGCCCAGTGCCATTAGTACAGTGGCAGTGCTTTTACTTAGCACTGATCACTGCATTGATGTCACTGGGGATGTCATTGACACCAAGTCAGTTCCCTCCAGTGTCAGAATGTCCACTGCAGTCCTGCTATAAGTCACTGATCGCCGCCACCACTAGTAAAAATTAAAAAAAAGCCCAGTATATATACCGCCATTTTTAAATACTATAACTTTCATGTAAACCAATTAATTTACACATACTGCAATTTTTTTTTTTGAAAAGACAAGTAGCAGAATACATTTTAACCTAAATGTAAGACACAATTTGATTTTTTTACTGGATATGTTTAAGCAAAAAGTCAAAAATCTTGTTTTTTTTCAAACTTGATGGGTTTTTTTTTATAACGCAAAAAAAATTTAAAAAAATACCGGCAGTCAAATATCACCAAAAGCTCTATTTGGGGGAAAAAAGGACAAAATTTAATTTGGGTGCACGGTTGCATGACCACGCAATTGACAGTTAAAGCAACACAGCTCCGTATCGCAATCATTAGAAATACTTCATCTGGAATATGCAGTTCAGTTTTGGGCACCAATTCACAAAAAGAACATTGGGGAAGTGGAGAAAGTACAGAGAAGGGCAACCAAACTGGTAAGAGGCATGGAGGAGATCAGCTATGAGGAAAGATTAGAGGAACTGAATTTATTCTCTCTTGAGAAGAGGAGATTAAGGGGGGATATGATCAACATGTATAAATACATCAGTGGTTCTTATAGTGAACTCGGTGTAGAGCTATTTAACCCTGAGGTCATCCCAGAGGACAAGGGGCACTCTTTACGTCTGGAGGAAAAGAAATGAGAGTTGTGAAAATGTGGAATAGACTCCCTCAAGAGTTGGTTCTGGCCAGCTCAGTGGATTGCTTTAAAAAAGGCCTGGATTGTTTCTTAGATACACAGAATATAACTGGATACTAACATTTATAGGTAAAGTTGCTACAGGGAATATCCGATTGCCTCTCGGGGGGATCAGGAAGGAATTTTTTTCCCTGCGGGAGCAAATTGCATCATGCTTTTCTGGGGGGTTTTTTTGCCTTCCTCTGGATCAACTGTGGGTATAGGATTATAACTTTTTTTTTTTTAATGGTTGAACTGGATGGACTTTTGTCTTTTTTCAGACAGACTAACTGTGTAACTGTGCGTGCAAAAAATGGCCTGGTCAGGAAGGGGGGTAAATCCTCTGGAGGACAATGGTTAATCGCATAAACCAATATTTATTAGTATTAGGAATAACCTCTCTGCCCATCACAGGGTAAAGTATTCCAGCTATGCATAACATCTATGAGCAACGTTGAGTATGAGCAAGCAAAATTTTCAGTTTAGTTGACAGATTTTCAATGCGGCTTCATTTAGCCTACAGCTTTTAAGAACTGTCTGTAAATTTCCAAACTTCACTGCTTATCCCATTAAGCACCAAAAGGTTCTCATTCTGTGCAGGCAGGCATAAAACATGTCTATTTATTTCTTGTGTTTATTCTAAAACAGATTTAATGGAGACATTATCAAGGGATTGCATATAGTATACAATATATGTAATGATGCAGAAGATGGTCGGTGTCTAGACATACTACAGGAGATGGCCTGAGTCTACAGGTGTGACTGGGGATAAGAGACATTTTGCAGGAGAAAGAGACTTGGGAAAGGTTTTGGGAGACCGTCAGAGTCCATTCTGGCTACATGCGCCTATATGTTAAAATGTCATGCATCCAGGAAGAAATTGATATGTTTATGTTATAAATATACACAATATAGTTCCCATCCCCCTTTGTGACTATAACTGCCCACAGTATTATGGGAAGACTTTTAACAAAAATTTGGGGTGAGGGTGTGGGAATTAGTAGCCACTTAGCCAAAGGAACTTTTGTGAGGTCAGCTACTGAGAAGATCTAGCTTGCAAATGACATCCTGCCTCACCCCAATGTTTTTCAGCAGGGTGAGATCAGGGCTCATTAGAGGTTACTGGTGTTCCTATTCACCAAGCTCATCAATCCATGTCAATCCATGTCCCTATGGACCTTCCTTTATTCTCAGTCATGTGATGACAGAAAAGGGCCATCCCCAAGCTGTTGCCATAAAGTTGAAAGCATTAACAGTACCCTTCCGTGAAATGCCTGAACTCAGTCAATTGGAACAAATTCCACTATAGGCCATATAACATAGGTAGAGACTTTCTGAAGTGGGCCTTGGAGGCAGTGGGTGGATCTGAGGAGTGGCTGGTTGCGCTCTTGAGAAACCTAAGCCAATCCCCAACAGAAGGCTTGGCAAGGTGCTGGGACTCCCTTAAAAGTGTAAGAGCCGAGATATTGCCTGTCTGCAGGAAACTCATTTTTCAACTACCTCCGCCCCAAAATATTTTGATGCACACTACCCTCGGGTATTTCAGGCTACTGGCCCTACTGAACAAAGGGGAGTTCTTGTTGCTTTTCACAGCAAAACCCCATTTGTTTGTGTGAAGCGTATTGCTGACCCCCAGTGGCAGGTAATAAATTACAGGGCACGATTCAGGGTATAGATGTCACAATAATGTCCTACTACACTCCCAATGTCAACCCTAGACCCTTTCTGACACATATCTGCTCTCTCCTGGCTGTCCATCAATGGGGTACCCTTTTGTTGGCAGGAGGTTCTAACTTAGTATTAAATCCCTCCCTCGGGTTCTGTCTCCTCTTCGGTGACGTTGTGGGAAGCTTACAAGGCTGTTTTTAGGGACCATATTATTCAGATTGCTTCGAGGCGGAAGAGGGATAGACAACATAAACAGCGTCAGCTGGAATCAAAGCTAGCTTCTGCGTCTGCTCAGTTTAATCAGGTAGCTACCCCATCGAACCGTAGATTGCTAAATCAGGCCCGCCTGGAACTGGATCTCTGTTTGACGGATGAGGCTGAGCGCTCTTTGTCTTTCAGATGGTAGGGTCATCAGAATTTGGTGTAAAAAACATGAAAGCATGGATCCATCCTGCCTTGTAGCAACTGTTCCGGTAATGTAACTGTGTAAGGGATATTTTCTGGGCACACTTCAGGCCCCTTAGTGCCAACTGAACAACTTTTAAATGCCACGGCCTACCTGAGTATTGTTGCTGACCATGTCCATCCCTTTATAACTACAGTGTACCCATTTTCTGATGGCTACTTCCAGCAGGATCATGCACCATGTCACAAAGTTCAAATCATCTCAAACTGGTTTCTTGCACATGACAATGAGTTCACTGTACTCCAATGGCCTCCATAGTCACCAGATCTCAACCCAATACAGCACCTTTGGGGTGTGGTAGAATGGGAGATTTGCATCATCGATGTGCAACGCACAAATCTGCAGCAAATGTGTGATACTATCATGTCAATATTGACCAAAATCTCTGAGGAATGGTTTCAACACCTTGTTGAATCTATGCCTTGAAGAATTTCTGAAGACAAAAGGGGTCCAACCCCAGTACTAGCAAGTATTAGCAAGGTGTACCTAATAAAGCGGCCGGTGAGAGTATCTGCAAGTGTTTGTGTGCTCAATCTTTGCGCATCTTGAACATAAACCCCAAAACGTAAACTATCACATTACTGTGATAAAACAGGCTCGTTTTTTAACAGGTCAAATGTTCTCCATACATAAGAATAGTGAAAAAAAAAATGGAAAGTACCACTTTATGGCCACTAGGTGGAACTGAAAATCATATTAACCACTTGAAGACCAGTGACGTACCGGTACATTGCTGGAATTCAAGTGATTATACTGGGATGATGCCTGATGATGCATCATCCCAGAATTTTTTCTTTCAACCAGCGGTCGGCTTTCTTGTAAAAGCAATCCTAGGGATAATTAGCCACTTTATTGCTTTTAAAAGCATCAGTAGGGGACTCTAGCTTCCCCCCTCCTCCCGACACTCGCCTTTCATATCCAGCAGGCCGGAATGGTTTTGATCATCTCTATGGTCTCCAGAATCCAGAAGCAATGAGCATTCACTTCTGGTTACAGGATATAAATGGCACCGTTTTAAATTGGGAAAGAACCTGATCATACCAATCGTGGTGTGATCAGATGCTGTGAAGGACAGAGGAGAGATCTGGCGTTTAACAGACTACAGAGCCCTCAGTAAAAAGAACCTGTCACTGCATATTGCTATCACAGGGGAAATTTATATAGCTCTACCTCTAAGAGAGGAGGGCTGAGTAGCAGTCTGGGTGTGATAGCCAGATGGGTCAAATTTAGGTCAGAGCTGAGAGGCTCTGCAGACCAGCTCTCTGGGATTTCCCCCCTGCTCTATAATGTTGGAGAAAGATCTAAAAGCAGTGGACAGATTTGAGGAGTGGCTGGTCTGTACTCTTAGAGCATCCTGGCCAATCCCCAACAGGAAGCTTGGCAAGGGGCTAGGACAGCCTTTTTTAGTAACTGAAAGCAGAAGGAGAGTTTGGGAGGAAGAGGAGGAATATGAAGCTGGAGAGCAGGAGCCTGTGAGGGGGCCAAGATGGAAAGGGGCTCACCTACAGGCAGAGGGACCTTGGAAGAATGAAAGCTTGGAACTTCTCCAGCCCCCTGAGAGAGGACCACCTGTGTGGCAGGGAAGGAGTGGCCCAGCTAGAAGGCCTGGTAGAAGCCACTGACCCACAACACAAGACAAGGCCCAAGTGAGTAGACTTGCACCCCCTGGGCCAGATAGGGGAAGGAGCACTCTGGTGGGAAACCAGATTAGCAACTACTGGGACTGTCTTATTTTAACGTGGCAGGCACTGGATCCCCTGCTCAGGGATTTCCTCCAGACAGCTGGGTGAAGAAGTGGATTTACCTGGGGTCTGGGGTGGTGCTACAGAAGATGCTGGCTAGATCTCCAAAAAAGAGTATTTTTTGTTTAAAGATTTGTACATTGTTCAGGAAGTTATCCTCAGTTACAGTTTCATTGGATATACCGTACACCCCTTACCCTATCCAAGTTATAACCCCTAATAAAACCTAAAAACAAAGCTCAAGGACTGTTTTGGTACTCTGGATGCATGTCTGTGTGGAAAATGCATGTTCCCTGGTTGTGCAGGACTATAGGGGGACCCTAAATTCGTCAGCTCCAACGGGGGTAGTGCTACATAAGTAATTTCTAGCAAAAAATACTGA